CATTCACCAAACTTCTTATACTGAAACACCTGCCCAAAATGGCCGAACTGAGCGTAAACACCGTCATCTTCTTGAAACAGCTAGGTCTCTTCTTCTCTCTGCCTCCGTTCTAGCTCCGTTTTAGGGTGAGGCAGTTCTTACTGCTGCTTTTCTTCTCAACCGTATGCCTACCCCCCTTATTTCTGGTCGGTCTCCTTATGAGGCTCTATTTTCTCAACTTCCCAATTACTCTCTCCTTCGTGTGTTTGGGTCTGCGTGTTTTGTCCTTTTACCCCGTAAAGATATGACTAAACTTAGTGCCCGGTCTGTCGTATGTGTTTTTTTGGGATATAGTCTCACTCAGAAAGGTTATCATTGTTATGATTCTATTTCTCGTCGCCTTTTTGTCTCCCGCCATGTTGCCTTTCTCGAACGTCTATCTTAGTTTCAGCTTCCTCCTCTCACCGCCCCAGTTTCCAAAGAGGAATTGGTTCATATTGATCCATTTCCTTCTGAGGTCCCATCTGATGAGTACATCTCCACAGTTCCTCCTAAGCTTATTCCATCTTCTCCTCCTGCTTCACCTCTGACTACTTCTTCTCCTTCTTCTCCTCCATTGTTAGTTTATTCTCGTCGCAAGGCTCCTCCTCTACTAGATGTCTCTACCCTGCTGTTGATCCTCCTGCTTCTGACGACTCTGATCCTACTACACACCGATATCCTCCTCGAGCGCGTCATCCTCCAAAAAGGTTGAGTTGGTCTAATACTTGCTTTTCTGCTTCCTATTGTACTTTTTTGTTTGCTATTCACTCTTTTGCAGAACCTCAGTCTTACAAGGAGGCCTGTCAGGATCCTCATTGGGTTCAAGCTATGGAGGATGAGCTATTTGCTCTATAGAAAACTAGTACTTGGGAGTTAGTTCCTTTACCTGCTGGTAAGGATCTGGTTGGTTGCAAATGGGTCTACAAAGTCAAGACTCATTCTGATAGTTCTCTTGAGCGCTACAAAGCTCATTTGGTGGCTAAAGGTTTCTCCCAGGAATATGGTGTCACAACCCAAACCCACCCCTATGGGTTTAGCACCGTAACCGGCCAGTAATCCAAGATTACCAAAGGCCTGCTTAACAGTAAAATAGGAATACAGAGTACAGGGGCTAGTGGAAGCCAATACAGTAAATAAACAATGTCCAATGAGCTGTGACAGTCTGTATGCCAAAAAAACTTTCATACACATATACATGAATGGTATAGAACAGTATGTACATATATACAATCATTCAGTTCAGGGACCTAATCCCTATTAAACAGTACAGTAACAGTCTATACAGTTATACAAAACAGGTACAGAGACAGAAGGGGAAATTAAAACACCCCTAAGCCATAACTTGACAGGCTCGGAACCTCGCAGTGAGGCACATAGGTTGGCTCTACAAAACTGGAGTTTACCCCGACGCTTCTAGCTACGGTCTGGTGCCTGTACACCTACATATATATATGAGCAGTGAGCTAAAGCCCAGTGAGTAACATAATGTGTAAAGAGGTTAAGAATGAATGTCCTTACAGTAATGAAAACAGTTCGTTAATTCAGTATATCAGTCATTCAGTCATATGTGGTACATCCATTAGCATAACAGTACAGTAAACAGTAAGTTTTAAAAGACCAAACAGTAAATGTTGGCCATCAATCAGTAACAGTAGTGGTTTCAATAAAGGAACCGACAGAGATCTTTGTAACTGTAACAGTAAACAGTAGTTGCTAAGGATGCCACAGTACAGTTCAGAATATAGGACATACATTCATTCAATTAACAGTATCAGTTCAGAAAGCGGTACAGTTAAATTGTTCAGAAGATAATCATTTTGAGCATATCTTTACATATTTGTTACTCACAGAGTTCTGGGCTATAGTAAAGCTAGAGCGCGTCCCTAGTCGCCAACCCTACACAGTTATAGATTGAACACACACTAAGCTACACAGTTGGGAAAATAATAACTTAATCCCTAATTTGCCTCAATGTGTTCTACATCTATATCCTCATTAAGATGCCTTAAACTAGGCCTAATAATGCCTAGGATGAGATGAGGATGCAAAGATGCACTCTAAAAGCATTTTCAGAATTTTTAAAAAATAGGGGTCACACTCGAGCGTATATTACTCCGCTCGAGCGGACATGCAGACAAAGGTTTCTGCTCAAGCGTAGACTTACCCGCTCGAGGGTTCTGCAAAACAGTCAAAAGTGCTGGATGGGTGAAAATCACGCTCGATTGGGCGCTCCACACCTGCTCGAGCGGACTTCAAAACAGTGCAAAGTACTGGGAGCACGAATTTCACGCTCGAGTGCCAGTCACCCCGCTCGAGCGTGAGTTCAAAATTTGGAATTCCCAGATTTGAACCTCAAGCTCAAATTCAACTTTTAAAACATAAATTTCGATCCTCTTGGGCCAATTTTCCAGAAAACATTCCAAAACTCATAGTTTAACATGATTCCAAAGCTCAATTGTAAAATCAAAGCCCAAGGGTGTTTCAAACAACTCAATTTCAAACCAATTTTCAGGAATATAAAAAACATGCAAACATGCATGAATCTAACCAATTCAAAGCTTCAATTTCATGCTCTAATGAGCCGATTCTTTCAAAGACAAGGTGAAAACATGGTTTATGATCAAAACATGGACATGCATGTGGCAAATTCATGAAGAACAAGCTCTAAAATGCAAGAGTATGCCATGCATGCAATAATTAAGCTTCAATTCAACACTATTGAACCAATTCTTGACTTAACTCTTTAAACTACCATGGTCCATGCTAGAAGGAACTTAAATACACAATAAGGAGGATGAAATTCATACCTAGGTTCCTCAATTACAAGTCTAGAGGCTCAATTATGCACTTAAGCTTTCAATTTCCCTAAGCCTCCAAGCAAAATCAAGATGAAAACAAGTTGAACTCACTTCTCTCACTCTCCCTCACTCTCTAGCCGGTTATACACTCAACAAGGTTGATGAAATGTACAAAATAGAATGAAGGCAAGTCTCAAATGTTCCATGTAGTGGGCCACTAAGTGGTATTTTGGAAAATAAGTCCAACTATGCAATTTAACACCATTTAGCCTAATGTAATCATACCAAATCACATTTTAGATAAATACACCATAAAATCATACTAATTCCAATGAACACAAATCATCAATCAATTTCAGATTCAGCTGCCGACAAGGCCTTCAATTCCCAATTTAAACACAAAGGCATGAACAGATAATCAAACAGTCAACAGAAAGACATACAATTAAACAGATATACTTAATCAATTCAGTTCCAGATTTCAGTCAGTCAGTTCAGTACTTCAATCAATTCAGTTACCAATCATAATCAGTCTCAGTTTAGCAATAATCAGTGGTTAATCGGTAAACAGTGACGAGGGTTGTTACATATGGTATTGATTATGAGGAGACATTTGCTCCTGTTGCCAAGATGACTACTGCCCGTACTTTGATTTCTGTCGCTGCTGTTCATTCTTGGCCTCTTTATTAGATGGATGTTAAGAATGCTTTTCTTAATAGCCATCTCATTGAGGAGGTTTACATGCGTCCTCCGCCTGGTCTTTACCATTCCTCTGGCCAAGTCTGTCGTCTTCGGCATGCTGTATATGGTCTGAAGTAGTCTCCCCGTGCTTGGTATGATCGCTTTTAGACTGTTGTTACCGAGCTTGGGTTTCATTCTTCTGCTTTCGACTCTGCTTTATTTCTAAGACATACCTTGGCTGGTTTTGTTGCTCTCTTACTATATGTAGATGATATGATCATCATTGGCTCTGACTCTGCTACTATCTCTAAGGTCAAGCAGCATCTCTTCTGCACCTTCGAAATGAAGGATCTGGGACCATTGCGGTATTTTCTTGGCATTGAGGTGGCTTCTTCTCCCAAGGGTTACTTTCTGTCCCAGACTAAGTATGCTAACGAGGTTATCCATCGTGCCAGACTTACTGACACTAAGCTGTCTGATACCCTCATTAAGCTTAATGTAAAGCTCAACACTACTGATGAGGTTCCTCTAGATGATCCTACGTTATATTGCGAGCTTGTGGGTTGCTTAGTCTATCTGACAGTTACTCGCCCTGGTCTTGCCTATGCTGTCCATGTGATTAGTCAGTTTGTTTCTGCCTCTCGCTCTACACATTGGGTTTCTTTGCTTCAGATTCTTCGCTATCTTCGTAGTACTATCTTTCAAGGCTTGCTGTTCTCTTCTACTTCTTCCCTAGACTTGGGGCTTATGCTGATGCTGATTGGGTTGGTGATGTTAATGATTGTAAATCTACTTCTGGTTTCTGTATGTTTCTTGGCGATTCCCTAATTTATTGAAAAAGCAAGAAACAGACTGTTGTTGCTCGTTCTACTGCCGAAGTTGAGTATCGTGCTATGGCTCATGCTACTGCTGAAATTGTCTGGCTTCGTAATCTCTTATCTGAGTTGGGCGTCCCTCAATCTTCCCCAACCTCTCTCTATTGTGACAACCGAAGTGCTATTCAAATTGCTCATAACACTGTCTTCTATGAACGGACAAAGCATATTGAGCTTGATTGTCACTTCGTCCATCAGCATCTACAGTCTTGCCTTATCTCGCTTCCTTTTGTCTCTTCGGCTCTGCAACTTGCTGACTTCTTTACTAAGACTCACACCACTACTCGGTTTCGGTTTTTTCTTGACAAACTCTCAGTATTTTCTGCTAAAACATCTTGAGTTTGAGCAGGGGGTGTGAGAATATGTGTTCTCCTAGGATTAGGAATAAGTGTCCTATATCTGTTAGACTTCTATATATCTCAGTGATGTATTCATGTAGGATTAGGAATTAGTGGTACTCTATATAAATGATGTATGTATTCTTTGTTCAATTAATTCAATCTAATATACAGTCGTGTTTAGAAAACTTACAGACTCAACCACATTGACTATACGATCAAGTGTCTTGTTAAGTAGAATTGAATCAGAAACTTTCTTGTTTTCCTTGCCATTGTTTGATGAACCATCAGTGTTTGATGGACGTTTTTTTGTTTAAATCAGAATGATGAACCACCTCCAAATCAACATCATCATCAAATTTAGCATCATGTGGGGTATGAAATTCCTCCCCAGCCTCATTAGCGTTAGGCATGACCCCTGAGCTAGGGGTGTATGCCCATTCTCCTATAGCAACTGCATTTGAGAATAGTATGTCTAGGTCTTTAGAGAATTGCAACGGCATAAGCCAAAATTTAGTCGCATCAGGATACCTTTGCAACAATTACAAAGGAAAATTTAACAATATGGCATATTTAAAATTTGGTCTGCTTAAAAAAAAAAAAAAAAAGAAAAAAAAAAAGAGCAAATGTACATTAATCAATTAACTTACCTCCAATTTCTTGGTCAACCACTCATCAAATGCAGAGATACCTCCAATCAATGTATCACGGCCTATGCTTGTCTCACCCCTTAAAAGATTATTCCATAAAAGCCAATCTTTTTTCAAAACATCCCAATGATTTTTCGTTTGTATTCGTTGGTATGCTTTTCCAGTCATAGTTTTAAACTTGGTTATCACATTTTCCCACCCGACCTTATCTAAGTGTGTCCCAGATCTGTGTACAGCCTTCGCTTGCTCAACATAAAGCTTAATGAAAATTTCATTTGATTTTGCATCCCAGTGAGCCTTAACGGATGGTACTTGAGAGGATTTTCCCTTGTTCTTCCTATTTTCATATTGTGTTTCCTCTTGGATACTCATTCTATGAAAGAAAAAAAATTCTTAAAAACATACTTATTCACTCAATATCATTGCTTGCATTAAAACATAATACATTGGCAACTGGGATAGACATATCAACATTCACGAAGTACATAGCTTAGTACAATGATTTATGGTAAAGTACATAGCACAAAAACACCTGATCTAAAAGCCACCTACAATCATTTGAAGAGTATGCAACTAACATAACAATACAAATTGACAACAAGCTGCTTCATGAATGTTAAGGATTGCTCAAGCATTTGGTTCTTGACTTTTAGTCTTGCTATTTCAATATTTTGATTTTGATGAAGCATTCTCTCGTTCCTTAGCCTCTCTAGCATCATCATAGATTTTGGGGTACACCACCTCCAAGATTGACAATTCTCTTCTCACAAATGAAATATAGTCTCCCTTTAGATGACTTGTCAAACTCAGTAACCCTTATGGTAGCTCTTAGACCACAATCACATTTCAAAGCCTCTAACCTCAAGTTGAAGGTCTCAGCATTTCTAGAATAGTTACTAGAGGATGACATGCCTCTGCATTAATTGAGAAGACTGCAACTCATGAGCAAGAGTACAGACCAACACTCAGTGTCTATATATAGCCAACATTGCAACTCCTAACGCATAAATGTTGCATTATTTTCAATTTGGGGATCAAAAATAATTATTACATCCATTTGGTCTACTCTCAATTGAGCATTCTTTGCATTTGGTTTAATACTGAGATGTGTTGATCCACATTGCAAAAAGATTCTAACCTCACAAACAAAACTCAATTTCCATGACTAATGCATAAACTTGAAACTACAAACTGAAATGAAATATTCTCCTTTGAATGTGACCGTCACTTTCATAAGAATCAAAACAAACAAACAAAAAAATTCAAATAATGCTCCACGCTTCCCAAAGTGCAAAGAGACAAATAAAAACAGAAACAAACACCAAGTACCCGTTTGGTTACTGAGAAAATGAAGGAAAAGAAAACAAAATTCTCAAAATCACAAGCCTCAATTCTTTGAAAATATGATAATTATTTAATTAAAAAAATTATTAAAATGAGGTAAATCAATTTGTCTACCTTGTTTAAGGTGAAATTTTTAGCTTTTCGAAAATATAAAAAGGAAATCCTCAAATAAAACAGAGGCACCACTCAATTGCACTTGCAAACAAAACTTGCTAGCAAAAGAAATGCCTAAACTCAACCTAACTAATGAGCAGAGAGACGAATAAAAATAGAAACAAACACAAATGATCCGTTTGGTTAGTGAGAAAATGAAGGAAAAGAAAGCAAAATTTTCAAAATTTCAAGCCTGAATTATTTGAAAAAATGAAAATGATTTAATATAAAAAAATCACTAAAATGAGGCAAAAACCCTAGCTTTTCAGCTAAATTCACACACAAACACTATTTACATACAAAATCTAACTACAGCTCTTCAAAATCTATCTAGAGAGAGAGAGAAAAAAAATGAAATGCATTGTTGAGAGAGAGAGAGAGAGAGAGAAGGGAAATTAATGAATGAAGGCCAGAATTGAAACATCGAAGGAGATAACTCTCAGTCCATGCTGGGTTTTTTTGAACATTCAAATAATGATGTGTGTGTGTGTGTGTGTGTGTGTGTGTGTGTGTGTGCTGTGTGTGAGAGAGAGAGAAAGAGCGAAAAGAGAGAGCTTCACAGTAATCGGATGCACACCATTTGACAGAGCAACCAAAAAAAAATACAAATCCTAAATCGATGTGTGTATATATATATATAACAAACATAGGGTTTGAAATCTTACTTTTTTCGTGGAGATCAATGGAAAATAGGGGACCTTCTGAATGATCACCTACGATCTTGTATGTGGAGGCAATTCGTCGTTCGCTAGAGAAGAGAGGAGAAGAGGAGAGCGCTGTGTGAGAGGAAAGGATAGTGTTAGGTCTGAATAGAGAAAAGGGTTTGTATATTGGCATTTTGGTAATTTTTAAAGTTTTGGAGGGGCATTTAAGTCATTACGTCCCCTCCATTTCAGCTGCACATATAAGCTGAAAAATTTAAGCACCTCGTTAGCAGCTTCAGCTTTTACACTGAAAATCAATTAATTTAAGTTATAATCTATCTCTACAAGTTCTACCAAACACACCAAAATAGCTCAATTTAAGGTAAAAGCTGATTTAAGCTGAAAATAAGTGGTACCAAACAAGTACCATGCTAGTTTTTTTTTTTTTTTTTTTTTTACTATACTAACATGTACACATCTACATATTCTGCAATACAGTATGCCTTTTTTGTCACTGTCTCGTTAAAAATGGTTAAATGATGAATAAGCCTCCGAATTCGGGACGCCCTTCATGGATGTCACAATTGGCCATAAATAAGACTCCAGATCCGGAGCGCCCTTTGTGCATGTTCACAATTGGGCCGAATAAGCCTCTGAATTCAAAATGCCCTTCGTAGATGTCACGATTGGCCATAAATAAGACTCTGGATTCAGAGCGCCCTTCATGGATGTCACCATTGGCCATAAATAAGACTCTAGATTTGGAGCGCCCTTCGTACATGTTCACGATTGGGCCGAATAAACCTCCGAATTCAGAGTGCCCTTCGTGGATGTCATGATTGGCCATAAATAAGACTTCGGATTTGAAGCGCCTTCGTGCATGTTCACGATTGGGCCGAATAAGCCTCCGAATTCAGAGCGCCCTGCGTGGATGTCATGATTGGCCATAAATAAGACTCCGGATTCAGAGCGCCCTTCGTGCATGTTCACGTTTGGGCCAAATACGCCTCTGAATTCGGAGCGCCCTTCGTGCATGTTCACGTTTGGGCTGAATAAGCCTCCAAATTCAGAGCGCCTTTCGTGGATATCACGATTGGGTAACACAAAGACTCTGGATTCGAAGCGCCCTTCGTGTATCACAATTGGCCAACACAAAAACTTTGGATTCGAAGTGCCCTTCGTGTATCACAATCAAAGAGCCATCTTGGCCCATCTTGGCCCTTTGGGGCTTGCTTGATATGACCATGGCATAAGTCCCTTTGCTAGCCTTAAGCTTTGAGCCTCCTAGCATGCTATGCTTGTGGTATGTGCATGATTTGGCATCATTCCTTACATGATTTCAGAGCATATAGTGTTGTCACACTTCCATGTTTTCCACTCTTTAAGTGCTCTTGAAAGTTGCACCTTAATGCCTTAATTCATGAGCCAATTGGCATGCATGCTTGTATATGTTTTTGGACTTCATTTTCAACATGTTTTGGCCATTGTCTTGGCATGCACGAGGCTTGTTTGTGGTTGGTTTGGCCCATTGAGTATTGCATTACATAGCCCTTGCCATACTCATGTTGTTTGCATGCTCATGTTGTTCGCATGTTGTTACATGCTCATGTTGTTTGCATATTGCGTTGCATTGTGTTAGCATGTTGTGTGTGTTGCATTGTGTTTGCGTTGGACGTTGATCCAAACATGAGGAACGAGGGACGTTTCATACTCAAAGTGATGAAACGTGCCTCATTCCTTGGGTTACCGACACCTTTGATCATGTATGATAAGGTGGAGGTTCATTGAGTCCTACGTGTTATTTGTGTGCATTCATTGACATTGAATTGTGCAACTCGGCCTCTTTGGCCATCATGCATTGAGATGCGTGATTGGTGGCTCGAGAGCCGAGCACTACACTCCTTTGAGCTTAAGACATGATAAGGAGTGTAGTTGCACACACATTTTCTTGCAAATACACTGCCATGCCTCTGTTAGTGCTCTGCTGCAGTAAAAGGAGGAATTTGCAGGAAGCAGTGGCCGACCGGCCATCAGAGCTGCCGATCGACCACTTAGTCTGCCGATCGGCTATCAAAATTGGTCGATAGCCATAAACTCTGGCCGATGGCCACTCCTCTTGGCCAA